AGCTGAATGAAATCTCCAGGGAGGAGAGCATGAGAAGAAGTGATATGTCACTCTGGTATTTTCAGGTTTGTCCTGATATACCAGATGTTTGGGAAAAAAAACCTGTAAAATAAGTCATACATCTTTTCTGCTAATGAGGCACTGCATTAGTGAGAGACTAGTCGTCTTTTCTGTTTGCAGGCCAGAGTCAAGCAGCTGCTTTGCTAAAGAGAATAGAAAGACTGTATTGAACTTTTCAGTGAAAGCATTGTAACGTACTCGCCAGTATCTACGCGCGCCGTCTGTGCCCTCTGCTGGCTGGAGCATCCAAGACTCCTTAGTATGTATCTTAATAATTTTTCGCATGCTCCAGTGAACGAAGGAGTGAAAAAGAATTTCTGTAAGGATTGTTACACTGACGGCGTGGGGCAGATTAAGGTTTTTAACTCAAGAACTCTGCGTTTTGGGTACCTAAGTTGGGTATACGCAGCATGAAAACTGAAACAATGCATAGGACTTACAGACAGCCTAAATCTGTGTATTATTAGTCCCAGCAGTAAGGTACTTCATGCTTTGTTGTGACATAGACAATATTATCGTTATGGGACTGCAGGGTGCCCTTAGCCTTCCTTTAAAAGGGTGGTTGTTATGTCCCTGCCTCAGGAAATCATCACTGGCTAGCTATCATCTTGTCTCAACCTGCTAGTAGCCTGAGGGAGCAGTGTGCTCCAGAAGGAGACTGCCAACATATGGTATATTTCTTCTGCAGGATCTTGAAGTTTTGTTGAATAAATATATTTTCTGAGATGAAAACAAAGGCAGAGAAGGGTGACTGCATATTGTCTGATGTCTGCATATATATGCAGCTGAACACCGCGCTCTGGAATTGCGTGCACAGAAACAAAATGTTGGCTGAATATATGAAGTCGTGATTCACATTAATTTTCATACTGTCTGTCTGTATCTGATTACTAATCAATAAATACCTTATCAGTTATAAACTAAGGGGTATACAAGCATACACTGAAAAATGTCATCTAATTACTACTGGCCAAGGAGAACTATAATCAATACACCATGATGGTGGTAAGACATTAGTGAACATAATGAAATCCAAAGTTATTCCCATAAGGAGGTTAATATTGATAGGTGCCCTTTACCTCCTTGCCCTTTACTTTCTCATGTGTAACAAGGGGACAACAAATGCAGGAAGATTTTTGCAGTCCTGAATACTGCCGACAGTGAAGAGAAAAATCACTGCGAAAGGTTCAGAACACCTACAACAAAAGAACTGTTCTCTAAAGACCCAGATCCTTGACTGGTGTACACAAAAACTTAGGATTGATCTCAAATTCTGTATGTGTACATAGCTGAAGAAAAATACCATGGTGCTGGGTTAAATTTCAGTGGAGTCTTTCCAGAAAAATAGAAGGGTCTGGGATAGCCACACATCAGGAAACATTCAGAAGTGTTAAGGGATGAAATTAGACCAATAAGCTTTTTGAATCTGTCTCCAGCCACCTATACAATGGTTTTCAATAGGACAGGAAAAACACTGCCAAGAAAGAACAACAAAAAATAAATTTCTTTAGGAAGGATGAATTTATTGTTTAGTAAAGCAGTAACTTTTTTTAAGCCATGGAATAAACATTGTTTTGTATCAGTGTTATTCTTTGAAATGAAACTCATGACCCTGTCTTGAAATCTCAGACCCTAATTTTGCAGGCGGTTTTGCTTTGGCGGAATGGGTATTTGCCAGTGCAAAGGGCCCTGCATGAGCACACTGTGAAAACCTTTCAAGTAAGTTTTAAGTGTGTGTGCTTGAAGGATGGGATTTAGTTGTCTTCTTAAAAAGGTCATCAGTGCTCCGTAACTGAATATGTTTTAAAATAATGTAACTGTCTTTGCTGTCTTGTTGTTTGTATTGAAAAGTGATGGATAGGTACATGTACAAATCTAATCTGTGTCTGGGAGTTGTCTAGTGCATATTGCACAGGTCTGAAATCTTCCACACAATTCTTTGCTGATATATATACAACAGGGTGTCCCAGTGTGATGCAGGGATTAAAGCAAATTTTGCTGGACTCCTTGGGATGCTAGTCACATCCTAGGCTGTCTACAAAGTGGTCTTATTTAGGAGAATACAAGTTTGGCTTTCAACATGAGAGAGTCACCAGCAATGCAAGGCATAGCACCCCTTTTCCTTCTTTTCTTCTTCCTTACTTGCTGACTCCATGGTAACTCTTCAGTATAGAATATAGGCAAGACAAATATAATACAGAGCAAAATAATATATTTGGAAAATACTGTAATTTTACACAGCACGTAGCTGACCTGAATCTCACTATGACAAGTTTGTAGGATTTAAAGCATGAATTGCAGATACATGTAGGTAACATAAATATCCCAAATGATGGATGGAGCTTAGGAAGACACATTTCTGCGGACAGTTTATTGCAATAGTCTGCTTTCCTCTCACCTTCCTTTTACTTTTCTGGTCCTGGCTGCTCTCAAGAAAAAAAGAGATAGGATGAGATGGATAGGTCCAATCTAACATATCAGTTACTGTGTTCCTTTATCTTTACAGTGGGCCTCAGGGAAAGGTTGTCTGTATTAAATACCATGTAGATAAAAAACAATTGAATGGGAAGAGACTGGTCTGTCCACATTCCCTCGCTCTTTCACTTTGCAGTTCACTTCCTCTGCATCCACTGGGAGGTCCTGGGTGCTCTGTCTCAACTCTTCTCTGATTTTCACTTCTCATTCCTCCTTTTCTGGTGGTTTCACGCTTGATCCTCGTCACAAATGCTCTGCTTGCTATTGCTTGGCTGATAGTCAAAAATATTTATGGCAAGTCTTGTAGACTTTGTGAACCTGTAAGGTGTCTTATCACAAAGTGCTGCACATCCAGTGTCTTTCAGAGCACTAGATACAAACCTCAGGAAACGTTGCCAATTTGTGCTTTAACGAAGCAATGCGGTGTTTGAACTAGAACTCTGTGTGTCAAGATAAAATTTTAACCATGTTAAAGCGTTCTGCTGAAAAAATAAAGCTTCATATAAGTCATACAAAATACATTAAGACATCACCAGTAACCTTTCCAGTTTTCAGAGACTCTTTGATAGTTACCACAAGTCCAGTGTGAAAGGGAAGGACCTCAGGTACAGGAATTATGTGGAAGACATAGCATGGCTTTTGTTTACCCAAGATCAAATAACCAAAATCAAAGCTGCAGTGAAGAAACTATGTTTTTACACAGGTGATCAAAAACAGCTGGCTTCTTTTGTGTTAGACAGTCCGCTACATATATATTTTTTATTCATTATTCTACTTGGAACATTGATGGCAGAAATAGCTTTGACTTGTGGACTCAACACCACAACTGTGATGAGAAAATTGTCACTTCCTCTTGATAACTTGTTGTCCAAAAGACATAAAACATTATTTCTCCATGTTAAATCTAAAGCCTTTACCTATTTTTCTGCACGTCTGTTATGACTGACAACCTGTAAATTCAAAGGCAATGGATATGTGTTTTCTGCTAAATTTAGGCATTAACTTTTCATAAATAAAGGGCTACTAGATTGAAATCCCTGGTATTTCCATTAGTGAGGCAGGTTGTATCTGTAGGAGGTGGTGGTTTATTTATGCAGATCATGCCTAGCTTTAGGGAGACTTTTTTAATCTGTCCATGCCAGCAGCCACTTTTCACCCATCAGAAGTTCAGCCATCTATTAAGTATCTGACATAATAATCTGGAAAAGAAATTTTATCAAATGAACTACGGTTAATTGCTTCTAAATGCTTAAACTGACTATACATAAATCGTAACTGGACTCTTGATATGAAACCGGGAGTGGTTTTCTTCTGAGGTATCTGTGCTACTTTAACATTGCTTTTGGCAATGAAATAATATTAAGCAAATAGTCCTACTTCCATCAGCAGACTGGATCAAAAAGGTGGTCCTGAGCTTGGGAATCACGGGCACTGGAAGTGAAGAAGGGGAGCCCCAGGTTCTCAGCGTCACTGCATCTTGCGGCCTCCACTGCTGGATCTTTCTAAGGAACAAACTGGTTTCCACCAAAGAGACTGCTCAGGAGAGGGTCAGGCATAGAGGAAGTCCAGTGCTCACAGGCTTTTGTCCAAATGGCAGGGACAGTCCTATCGAGTCGCTAGGGCTGGCTGGACGGAGAAATGAGGACTGCTGACCAGTGCTGGTAGGGAGTGCAGAGGCAGATCAGATGAGTTGTGAGTATTGGCCAGACAAAACAGCTGGAAGCCAAGGAGAGTACATCTGAAATAAGAGGGAGGGCTTGGGAGAAGAGGAGGAGAAGAAAGAAAGAAGGATAAACTGCTCCAGCTCAAATTTTAAATAACGAAGCTGTAATATTTGAAGTCAACATTTACATTAAAGTTAGAACCCTTTGAAGAGTTAAAAATATATTTAATTAAAACAAAAAACACTGTGTCCTTGTAGATATTGTGACAAGTGGAGAAACATTACATTAATCAGATAAATTTTATGCTGCAAAGTCCCACAGACCTAAAGTTAAGCCAGATATTCTTAAGAGCTAATTTTTCATATGGAATGAAATTAATTCCTGCATAGAGCATCAAACCTGTTGACTGCTGAGACTCAATGAAATCCAGGTTGAGATGTATGTAACTGGCTTAACTTGAAGTATACAAAACAGCATTATCAACAATTTTTTTTTTCAAATATAACTGTTAAAAATGTAAGCTGTAAAAAAACATTCCGTATTCTGGATTATCCTTTCATATGGTAAAATCAGTATATACATACTGGTATATCTTTGGCACAAAGAGTAGTTTATAGAACTAAACTGAAGAAATTCATTCAAGCTGAAGTGTCACCTATGGAATAGAAAAGGTTTCCTGATACAGATAAGACCACAGAGTTGCAGCTGGTTTATGCCTTTCAGGCATGATCTTTCTGTGTTAATAAAACCTTTAGAATTTCAAACACAGGGGAAAAGAATATTCTCACTTTCATGGGTCATTTACATTAAGGTTCTCAAAATTAGAATTAAACAAAACAGATTAAACATCCTTATCTTATAGGATGAAGAACTACTGAAAGTACGAGTATCATTTGGTTCTAAATCATATCCAGTGGCAGCTATGACAGTGTTATATTCTGCAGTTGTTATATTGAGTGTATTATTTCCAAAGGTAGATTGAAAATCTTCTATTTCAGGATGTGTAGATAATGTCACCTTACTCTGAGTGGTAAATGAAAATAGAGTTCTGTTAGACGGGATCTTTTCCTCAGAGGCTTCTATATTAGAAAGTGAATTTGAGGATATGTGAATGCAAATATCTTCTGAAATGCAAGCATGGAGGTAGTGGATGTCTTTTATGTCAACTCTAGGTTCACAAGTGTGTCCTGCATAACAGTGGCAATCAAATTTTTCTATGAATGTTTGCAGATCCTGAAACGCTGGTTGCCCTTGCAGAGTGTATTTTCCATCCTTTGTCATTTGAATGACAATATTCTCAGGGTTCAAGTGAAGATAGTCACTGGAATTCCATTTTTTCCGTGCACAAGCACCAGAGTCTTGGCATAACACTTGGCTACAGATTCTGGCTGCCATCGTGACATTGATGAGGTATGGGGTCAAAGTCCTCCTAAGGTAGTTGTCCAGAGTCCTACAGGTGTTCTGTGAAAAGAGCATCATATCTGCAGTGTTTAGTATGGAAACCATTAAAATGCTGTCATTCTAATAAAAGTACCGTAGTGGATATCTATGAATGTTTCTCCTGAAGTTTTGATAATAGTTATAACTGGTTGTTGGAAGCAAGTTTATCTGAGAAGTTGCTATATAGCTCAAGGATCACAGCAAATTTATGTTGGGTGGTTGCTGGAGATGTTGTGAAAAGCACTTATATCAGAAAGCAGACAAGTTTAAGCTTTCCTTTTATCTGTATGTTTCATGTAGCATTTTGAATCAGATGCATTTAAAGAAGTTACATGAAGGATCGAAGTTCCTTTTTATGTGTCTTGAGAGGTTTGAAGGGATCTTGAAAAAAACCTCACTTCTTCAGCCTGAACAAATAATTTTTCTATCAAATCATCTCAGTAAGACTCTTCAATTTTCCCTTGACCTGAATAGCTAGGCTGCAGGAGTAGGGAGCTTTCACGGCATTTTTGAATGGAAAGCATTTTGGGAGGACGGTCAAACAGAAAGTATGCTAAGAGAATTGATCATTCTCATTGATCGTGAAGTTGGCATGTATGCTGGGTATGCTTGGCACAGTTTAATAACCAGAGACTTTGCAAACTCCTTCTTTGTTTCTGATGCTGTGTCTCCTTAGGGCATTTGCCTAATACCACACATAGCTACGGCTAATATTTACACCCATGGAGATCACTTCAGTGAATCTGAGGTGTATGTAGGTTTTTTGGTTTCCTTTTAGCACATATAAAAACCCTGCCTGAAAATCTTGGTTGATGCAATTCTTGCAGAAATGAGGCTCACAGTAATATTTCATTGCGGAAAGGCTACTGACTGTGATAGCTGTAAAAAAAGGTGTGATTAGTTCACAAATACATAGTCTAACTGGGCTGTGGAAAATTCTATTTGCTCATACAAATCTCAAAATTCAAGCAGTAGAAGTTGTTGCTCCTCTGTGTTCTGGTATTGGGGTAATGGGCAAAGAAGCTTCAGGTGCAACTGATATACTTTCTCAAAGGTAGACACATACAAAAAAGAGTCAATGTGGAATGCTTTTGGGAATTTGACCCTTTCAGAGCTGCGGAGGTTTATATGGCCATGCGTTCTGTGACAGGAGGCGCAGCAGTGCTGAAGAGTTTAAGTTCTTTGCTCTTAGAAGACTGCAGAAGAGTCTTTCTATGCAGTAGTTTATTATATCTAGCTTGCCTGGGTATGAATGAGCTACTTTAAAAGATTTATTTGAACATCTTTATAACAATGTTTCTCAAACTATGTATTTGACCTTCCTAAAACAAATTGGACTTTTTTTCCTCTTCTGACTCAAATCTTCCTTACAACGAAATTAATCGAACTACTACTTACAACACACAGAACAGGCTAGAGCTGAAATTTCACAGACTGACTCCTCCTAGTGCTTTAAATATTATTGCTAAGTGCACCACTTTAAAAAGCAGAAGGGTCTTTTAAAAATTGTTCTGGGCAACCACAAGTAATCTTTTCTGTACCTCATGACTGGAACGTAACGAAGATACAGGAATTCTTTC